GCAGCAGCGGAGGAAGGCGAGGAGACGGCGGCGTCGGGGGAGGAGCCCCTGGGCTTTCTGTCCAGGCTGCCCCCGGTCCCCACCGGACTGGACTGCACCGCCCTGGACCGCGACCCGGACCTGCCACCCGCCTCGGGCACGTCACACTTCGAGTTCCCGGACTACTGCACCCCCGAGGTCACCGAGATGATCGCAGGGGACTGGCGCCCGTCTAGCATCGCCGACCTGGTTTTCACCTACTGAGCCCACCGTCAGCGGGGCGCGCATGCCCCCAAACCAGCTGTTTACATACAGGAATCAGGTATTGGGGCCCCTCGGAGGCCGAGGCTGGCACCCCATCTCCCGCGCAGCCTCTCCCCTCCTAGACGTGCCCATCCCCCCCTCGGATCCAGACATGCCCCTCCTCCGCGGACACACCCCAAGGCAACCCAACCCCCAGCCTTTCCCTGACAGCCAAGCTCCTCCCTCATCTTGTCCCTTCCCTCACAGCCACCAGCAGCCAGCGCCCCCTCCGATACACCTCCCGTCCCCCTCACCGACCTGCACCCCTCCCCCCACTTTGCACACGCCCCTCCTCGTGGCCGAAGGACACGCCCCCTGCCTTGCTCGCGAATCTCTCCGCCCTCGCCTAACCTGCCTAGTTGGATAGGGGGCGACGCGGCCCCAAGCGCTCTGCCTGGGTCCCGCCCCCTCCCGGGGGTGGGGCGCTCTCCAACCCTTGAGCGCTAGGGCCACCCCCTCCTTGCGCATGCTTAATACTCGTTGGGAGGAGGGGGCTGGTCCCTAGACCGCCTCCAGGCTCTGTGGCCTGTGCTAAGAAGGACTGGGGTGAGCGTGGAGTGATCCTGAGAAACCCTTTGATCCCGGAGCCCTTGGCTTCCTCTCTACCCGACGGGGCGTCACTGCCTTAATGGGAGGAGCACTTAGTAGAGAGAAAGAAATTAGGCCAGAAGGGGTGGCTGGGATTTGAGACTCCAAGTTGCATAGACCCTTTTCCCTGATGGGGTCGCCCATGCCCACCACCTTCCCAGCTGCGTGATTGGTTGTAGTTTATCTCGGTCCCCGGAACGTCCCTTTCTTTCCGCGACTGGAAATTGGGAGGAAGATCTTTCTCTGGAAATCCACCGAAGAGGGAAGGATTGACCAAGAAAATTTATTAATGAGATAACTATACAGTCTTTGGGGACAGGATCCTTGCTGCTCCCACCCCCCCTCTCCCGGGGAAGCGCCCTATCACCTCAGGGCACCCTGCCAGCCTGGGCTCCTCCCTAAGCCTTCTGTCCCCTTCTTGTCACCTAAATCCACCCATAAAAACTACAGCTGCAGTATTCAGTGGGAGAAACTGAGCCACGTTGGTGCTAGGGGGTTGGAACTGAGACAGGATAACAGATGGGTGGCAGGAAAGAGCCCACTTGTAAACAGCGGCCTGAGAGAGACCACCTACCGGGCTGAGGAGACATCCTGGCTTGGAGGTGGCTGCCGTTCTAGCGCCTCGGTTTTTCCACGTGAGAAATGAGGATAGCGCTGCTGTTGTGAGGAAGATGTGCCCAGTTCAGGGTGGCTGAAACCCTGTCCCCCTGCTGTTACCCCGCTCAGCCCAGCTCCCGCTGAACCCCCACCCCTCCAGCCTCCCCACATCCCCTCTACCCTCACTACCTGTATCGCCGGCGTGTGTTCACCTCCGGGTGGCTCACACACTCTCATTCACAAACACAAATCTCAGGAACAAACGGTCCCAGAGTCCTCCGGGACCCCTGCCCAGGGTCTCTACAGGTCTCTGCCCCACGCGTTCCCTTCGCTGACAAAGCCACCAGCTGCCTCCTTTAAGCTTGGTGCTCCGGCTCTGGGCCTTTCTTGCTCTCTCTCTCTCTCTCTCTCTTTTTTAAGAAAACAAAACAAAAAAAGACAATGAAAAAAACGGAGAAAATGTCATGTGAGTGAAGAGATGTCACTGTCTGTGGTCTTGGAGAACTAGTCTAGTAGCTGAGGGGAAGGGTCCCTTCATCTGGGGCACTGGCACCCACAGCAGGACTTATGCCAGTCTGATGCCAGGACTGAATAAAGTGTATTTGCCCCGACCTTGCCCTGTGGTTTTGCATGTCTGTGCTTTTCCTCAACCTTCCCCCCAGCAGATTGCCAGGTTCAAGTCCATAGGATCTAGACTATGCAGGAAGAGCAAGCTGTCTGGGGACAAGGTGTCTGGCCTGTCTCAGGACTCCCTGCCCTCACAGAGGGTAGCGCAGTCCTCCCCTGCGGAGGCCAGGCGGATAATACGAATGAATGAACACTGGTGCCATCACCCAGTTCAAGGGTTGCACCTGCCTATCTGCTGCCAGTTGTGACCCTGTGGGGATTTGGTCCGGGGTAGCCAGATGGACAGATTTTTCAAGAGAAGCTGGAGATACTGCTGCTTCTGAGTCATCGTAATTTCAAAATGAAAGCTGACTCAAATATTTTTAAACCTCTGAGCCAAATGAAGCAGGTATATATGTGGGTTAATTTGAGAATTAAAAAACAGGCAAGGACCACATTGCCCAAAGACCAGCTCCTGCCCCAAGCACCTGTCCTGACCTTAAGCAAATTAACTCCTCCCAACTCTTCTTTCTGAATGTGTTACATGAGGATGAGGAGGAAACCTGCTTCCTGGGCTAGGTGACATGGTGCTCTGTAGATTTCCTGCCTCCACTGTCAGTGGAGGAAGTTGAGAGTCAGGGAAGCCAAGGCCTGGGATCTTGGTCCCATCTGCTAGGGAAGTGCTGTTCAGGCCCTGTCCCACCTCTCCGGCCCAGCCTACAGGTAGGGCACACCCCAGCCTGCAGTGTAGACTCAACTGCATGAGCAGAAAGGAACAGAAGCCATGATTCCTCTTTATGAGGTCAACTCCTGGGTCGTCCTCCCCATGAGGTTGACTGATGACTTGGAAACTGACCAGAGCTTTCCCTCCTTTGTTCCCCTGACACCCCTGCTCCTAACTTGTTCATCAGATCCAGTGAATGCCTATACTCAGATAAAGCCTCTTCTCACTACAAGAGCAAAGGCTAAACGTTTTCTTTCAGCCTGTGGTTGGGAGCAAGCTGGAAAACAATCCTGTAAGAAGAGGTAGTGTTGAGAAGGCAAGGAAGGTGGTACTGTGTGCCTCACAGAAGGCCCTCCTAGCAAGGGCTTAGGATCATGGGTGGTCAACTCCGCAGGGTCGGAGAGAACACCTCACTGAGGTTGCACCTGCCCCAGCAGCCTGCCCCAGTGGCTTAGCCAGGCACAGGATGCACATCTGGCCATCTGTACCATTGGCAGCCAGGGCTTCGTCGGGCCTGCAGCACAGTTGGAGCTCTTCCTGTGCCCAGTCCTGCCGCCTCTTCTTTCCACGGGTGTTGTCCCTAATAAACATCTTGCACCTGCAACTCAATCTCTGCGTCTGTTTCTGGAGAACTCAGCATCAGAGGGTCAAGAGCTGCACAGAAGGAGTGGGGTCACTGGCTCGGCGAGGGCAGCTGGGCACACAGATGTCCCTAACGTCCATGTGTCTCAAGTCTTCCTTTTACCAACGCCCATTAGCACCACCCCCAGGGCCACAGCAGTCCAAACACAAGCCGAGCTGCACCTGAGCCCAGCGTGTTCTCATTGCCCTGACCCATGGTGGGGGCAGACAATCCGATGTCCTTCCGGATGGCTCAGGAGGAGGGAGACGGCTGCTGGTGCTGTGGAGCTATTAGCAATACACCTCACCCTCGCAGGCCTTGGTACCCATGGGTTAAGTGGGGACGGGGAAGATGAGAGGCCAGCTCTTGCTCCGGTTCCTTCCGCTTTGTGCGCGCGTGAGTTTTACTGGGGATTGAACCCTGGGATCCCAAGTCCTTTTTGTTTTTGGAGACAAGGTCTCTAAATTGCACAGGCTCAGACTTGCCATCTGCCTGACTCAGCCCCCTGAGTAGCTAGCTGCACATCAGTCCCTAGCCCCTTTCACTTCAGATGTTCATCTGGAAAAGGCAAGGAAGGGACCTGCTTACAGGGACTCTGAGGACACCTAGTGGCTAAGGAGTAGAAAAATTCTTGTGCAGGTCGGGTGGGGGATAGGGCCTGGCCATTGTGAAGGAACGGACTCCCCACTCGCGTCACGATTGGCACAGTCACCGACTCACTGCTCTGTCGTGTCTTGTGCCCAGGCAGTTGGAGCCCTCTTGGTTCCAAAGCTGTAAGAACACCCATCTACTGATCTACAGGTTATCTATTGTTGTGCAGCGAATTGCTGCAAACCTAGTGACTTAAAACCACAAGGTTAGTGCTTCACATCGTCTGTGGGGTAGGCATCCCAGTGCTCTTAGTTGCTCAAGATTTCAGGGCAGAAAGCGAGGTGTTGGTCAGCCCATGTGCCCCCTTGGTGCTCAGCAGTCCTTTTGTTTTTGTTTTGGTTTGTTTTTTTGAGACAGAGTCTCACTTTGTAGTTGAGACTGACCTGGAACTCATTATGTAGCCCAGGCTTGTCTCAAACTCACAAAGATCCCTCCTGCCTCAGCCTCCCCAGTGCTGGGATTACAGGTGTGCACCACCACACCTGGCTTCAGCCTTTTTCAAACTCATGTGGCTACAGACATAATTCCATTCCTTGTGGCTGTATGACTAAGTCCCTCTCCTCTGCTGGCAGTTTGTGCCTCTCCTTGCTACAAAGCTCCCTTCACCGAGGCCAGCAGAGAATCAGACAAGGTTTCAGCTCTCAGGCGGCTGGGGGAACACAGGGAGAAGGGTCTGGCCTACCCCCAAATATCTATTTACTTACCTAAAAATCAACTGATTTGTGATCTCATTCCATCGTAGGAGTTCCTTCACCTTTGCTGTATATTGCAGCCTGGTCCTAAGAGTGATATCCACACAGTCAGAAGCAGGGCATGGATCCTGGGCACCTGTGGCTGGAACCTGGGCCCTTCTGCTCAGCACAGCTTGAGGATCCTCAGGTCTCCACCCCACACTGCCAGACTGACTGCCTTCTTGTCATGGCCACTGCGTGTTTAATCACTGCTTTGGTGTGGCATGTCTGAAAATGACTTTTGTTCTGGGATGCTCCAGCCTGCTTATTTCCAAGTATCTTCACAGCTGATGCAAAGTCCAGCCTTTCACTCCTTGGGTCCTCTCCTCCTCAGGCTTCACATCCTCTGTGTCCTGTCGGCACGCCTGTGTATGTGCCTGTGTCCTTTAGTCTCCTGTAACCACCTTGCTGGCTCAGCCTCCATAGCTCTCCCTGGCTTCTTGCACAGCCTCCTGGTGCTTTCCCCACTCATGGTTTTCCTGTGCTCACTTTTCCATGGCTCCCTACTGGCCTCAGGATGCAGCCCAAAATCTAGGGTTCTTTTTCTTTTTAAAATTTTTGGCATAAGGGATCAAATCCAGGAATGCTCTACCGGTGAGCTATCTCTCTAGCCTTCTAACAGGCTCTTGTCAGGTTGCTCAGGCTGGGCTGAACCTTGTGATCCTCCTGCCTCAGCCTGCTGGGTACCTGGGATTAAAGGCCTGCACCACCAAGCCTGGTTTGTTTACTCTTTTCTAGATTCATCTTCAACTACTCAAACTCTACCTCAGCTATACCTGGTCACACCCCAGTGACAGTACCCCCCCAGGCCACTTGTCTCTGCTCTTGTTGAGGAATTGGAGGGGCCCTGGGCTGATCATATTGCCTTTTGAGGCCTCAGGGTGCCCAGCTGTCCAGGTAGGGGATGTGCTGGCAGTCTCCGGAGCATCTCAGCATTCCAGGAGTCTCTGAGAAGGGAGAGGCATCTGTAGGCAAACCTGGGCGCCTGGCTTCTAGGTTGCCTGGTGATGAATGCCAACTCTCTCCCCACCCTAGGGGGTTTCTTAGCAACCCAGTTTCTCACCCACAGTTGTATGCAGGGTTTCCTTTCAACTAAATGTCAAGTTCTGCTCTTTCTTCTCCAGAAAACCTGAAGTCCCGGGTCTCTGTGGAAACAAACCTAGAATGGTAACAGGCCCGCATTGCAGGATAGCAGAGGATTTGCTGTGACTTAGAAAAGCTTCCTGGCCACTCTGGATTTATTTGATTGTAGCTACCTAGGCCATGTGCTCCTAGGGCCTCCTTCTTATCTGTGTTGGTTCAACTGCTACATGTATTCCCTGAACTTCCCAAGTAGCTAGGATTATAGGCTTGCACCACTGCACCTAGCCTGGACATTTGTATCCACTTCTCTGCCCTTTTTAAGACGCCTGTTGAACTAAAACTTCTCCTTTAATACTAGATAATGCCTCTTGCTTTTCTCACTAGGGGACAGTTTATCCAGTACCATGTTACCCAGCTCCCCACACCACTCACCCATGAAGCAAATGAACAGTAACATCAACAATTCACTCAGTTCTTGGTCCATTCACGTGTGTGTGTGTGCGTGTGCGTGTGTGTGTGTGTGTGTGTGTGTGTGTGTACAGCTCATTTCACAATTTCTATCCCTTTGAAAAGCACATATTAGCTCTGTTTTAGAGAAACTGAGGCTCACAGTGGGTAAATCATGTAAGCATCAAGTGGCAGAATCAAGACTCATACCTAGCTCTGTTGTTTGTTTTTTGGCTTTATGGTACTAAGGATTGAGCTCAGGGCCTTCAGACTGGGCTACAGCCCTGGGCCTTTTTATTTTCTATTTGAAGACAGTGTCTTACTAAGTCTCTACGTTGCCCAGACTGCCTCGGCCTCCCAGAGTGCTGGGATTACAGGTGTGCACTGCCGTGCTCAGCACTGCATCTGTCTCGACTCCTGAGTTCAGCTCACAGCCACTCCCCTGTATCTCTTCCCAGTGGCTGCCCTCCTTCCCAGGGCTTCAGAGGACTTGGGTTCTCTCCTTTGCAGGCTCCAGTTCTGCTCATTCCTCTCGGCATAGGCCCTCATCCCTTCCCATCTCCTCCAGGGTCTTCTCCATCGCCTGGATCCACAGTGTGGCTCCCCTACCCACTTTTCCCAGATCAACTCCCTGTCCTCCCTCACATACAGACCACTGTCCACCCTAACCCTTGCCCAAGATCCCACTTGTCTCCTTGTTGCTACTTCCAAGACCCATGATCCTGCTTTGTGTCTAGAGCATTTAGCACAGCTGAGCAGGTGAGTCCTCCTCAGACATCTCCCTGAGGTCTCTGTAACTCTGTTCCGGTGCCATGGGCCAGGCCCTAACGTCCCCCTTTCACTTCCCCACCCTCACCACCTTTCTGGATGTTTCTCTAGTTCTCATCCCCATGTGATCTGATGAAGCGCACTGCCATGTTACAATTTCTCCATGGTGTTTAGGAATACTCCTCATGAGGGACAAGTCTGTATTCCTCCCCTTGAACCTGACCCAACCCCAGCGACCAGCCAGCTGACAGACAGTGGTAGAATCTTCTGTCCAGGTCATAGAAGCAATTGCTGCGGTCTCCCTGGAGCCCTGAGGCACAGTTTAAGTGTTACCTGAGCGGGAACAGTGACAGGAATAGAATCCTAGCACTCTGGGTATCTGAGGTAGGAGGTTCACAAGTTCAAGCCTAGCCTGGGCAACTTGGTGATGAAGCAAGACCTTGTCTCAAAATAGAAAGCACATTTCCTTGATGTGAAGCCAGCATGGAGAGCAGAGCAGAGCCAATGAAGAAAGACTCCTGAGCATCTGGATCCAGCCATGCCTGAAGGCAGTATCTCTTGATTTCTCAATTATCCGAGACTTCACATTACCTTTTTGTTTGTTAAACCAGTTCAGGTTCAGTTTTGTCACCTGACGCCAGTACCATTTCCTGTACTGTACAAAGAACTCAGCTTTGCCTCTGATTCCAAACACATATATCCTTCTGGGTCCTGGACAGGGCCATTCAGCCCAGCCAAAAGCTAAGGACGCCAACTTCTCCCCAACTTGGTCCCCATTATTGTTTCCATCTCTCTCTCTCTCTCTCTCTCTCTCTCTCTCTCTCTCTCTCTCTTTCTTTTTTTCTGGTACCAGGAATTGAACTCAGAACCTTTAGCTTACCAGCAGGCAAGGCACCACTGAGCTAAATCCCCAGCCCTTTCCATCTCTCTTGATGACAGCATCACCCACTTGCCCTGACACTGTGACAGTCATTCTCTGTCCCTGCACCCCCCTCCTTGTCCTTGCTTCTCAGTCGCCAAGTCCCGCTGACTGCATTTTGTGGACATAGTTTAAATCTGCACTCAGTCTCCTTTTTCCTACCCACTTCCATCCTCCGGATCTCTTCCCCTGATTACTACAAAAGCAACAGCTAACGGACCCAAGGTGTAGAGTAAAAAGTGAATTTCCTTGCTGCCCATGCCCACAGCTGGTCTCCTGCTAGACATCCACGTTTACCTCTTTCTGTCTATCCTCCCACAAGTTCTCTTTAAGTGCCAGTTTCCTTTTGGAGAATTGCAAATGTGAGGCGTACTATCAAGACTTTTTTCTGCTACCCCACCTTAACAGACCACTGCTTTTTCCTTCACTGATCTTGAAGTTTTATGTCATAACTGCAGTGTAGCACTAATTGCTTGGTACAGGGGATCAAACTCAGGCCCTTGCGCTTGCAAGGCAAGTGCCGGAACCACTGAGCTAAATCTCCAGCCCACTAATTGCTTCTTTTGATGGCTGCATAGTATCCCCTGGTTATAACCAATTGTACAACTCCATCCTACTGATGGATATTTAAGTTGTGCTCCAATTACTTACTGGTGCCTGAAAAGTCACCAAAACCCTAGTGGTGTAACACAGTAACCATTGGATTATGCTGTGGATTCCACGTGTCCTCTGCTCCACAATGAGTGAGGGTTTCCTGGCATGACTTGAAAGTGGAAGCTCCTTGGGGACTACAGTCATCAGCTGCTTTGCTGATCACTTCTCTGGTGCCTGATCCGGGGTGGCTCAAAGGCTAAAGCCCCGCTGGGACTGTGGTGCCTTCCCGAGGCCTCCCCACATGGCGGCCCTGGCTTCCTCCCACTCAGCAGGCTTGGCTATTGCACATGCTTTCCTGTCCCAGCCTTGGAGGTCAAAGCATCGCTTCCATCACACTCCATGAGTCTGGGTGCTCATCACTCACAGGGACTCAAAGGATGCACAGACCCACTGCTACCCAGGGCTAAGGAACTTGTAGCCGTGTGATACAGTCCCCCAGATTGTTCTAGCCCTTTGCCGTTCCTGTAGTTCAGTGCATATCCTCATAGCCCTTGAACCCTTTTGCCCTCTGCATACCTCTGAGACACCATTGTAGCTGACCCGTAGCCTCCTCACCAGCTCTTGCTGACCCTCACACACCTCCATCCCATTCTTCTGATGGTGGCCAGAGGTCAGAGCACAGGTAAAGCACTTAAACACATATTGGGCACCATGTTTGTGCTAGTATTGTCCTGTGTTCAGCAAATATTTATCAAGCTGACTATTCAGTGCCGAGCACTATGGGAGGCTCGGGACACAGTAGTAAAAGAAAGATGTGCTCCCTCTGGGCAGAGCTCATTCAAGCCCTCGTCCCAGCCAGAAGCAAAGGGAGAGACAGCACAGATGATCAAGACACGAAGTGAAGTTTGTGCAGTGGCGCCTGCAGGAGTTCAGAGATACAATGGCTTCACCAAGACCACAAAGCAAATGTGCACATGCTGAAAGGTGTGACACTGGCGCCACTGCCTGTCAAAGGCTTGGTCTCCAGGGAGATGGCTGCTGGGGCTGGATGACCAGAGCAGAGCTGCGGGGAGGTTGTCTCTTTGGCTCCTTCCAGAGGGCAAAGGGTGAGTCACTTCTTGCTAAAACCTCCTCCCACACTCCAACTCCCATCTCTAGGTAAGAGGGGCTGAGGAGGACTCTGAGAGGAAAAGTGGATGGAAAGAGGGTGGGGGCTCAGGATGAGGGCTTCGGAGAGGGCTTCCTAGTAGGTGCCCAGTGAGAGACAGGTGGGGCTTGATGTTGGCACAGGTAGGGTGAGAGCACAGTGAGCAGATGGAGGCTCAGTGGGCAGGTGGGTCATCAGTGGGGGACTGACAGTGACCCTCAGGCCAGGATTCTTAGGGCCTGCAGGGGAAGTGAGGCCTAGGAGGGGTGGGGTCATCACGAGGAGTCTGGGATCATCGAAGGAGGAGGAGCTCAGGAAGAGCACAGGGGTCCTGCGCTGGCCAGGACCGCAGTCTGCAGAGCCAGCTCCCAGGGCGCCGGTGCCCCCTCCTCCCCAGCCCCCGAGTCACCCCCACCCGGCTGCGGCGCAGGCGCGAGCCCAACCTGCTTTTGCTCTGCTCCAGATCTAGCTGCACTTTGCTCGGCGGAGACCGTAGACAGATCGGTGAGCTCGGCCCCTGCCCCACGCGAGGCACGACCCCCTGCCCGGCGTCTGCCGGATTTCGAGGAGCCCACCCTCTAGCCGAGTCCCCAGTCCCAGCTGCGTCCCGCTAGGGCAGCCTTGGGTTCTGGGGAGTGAGGGTCCCCAGGAAGCAGTGGGACAGAGACAGCCACAGGCCCGTGGCCCCTTCGCGCCTCGCGATTGATGGGCCGGGCTGAGAGGACGAGATCTTCCACGCCTCCCTGAAAACCTAGTCCTGTTCCACTCTGCCTCAGTTATCCTCTAGTGGAAAGGACGCAGTTAATTTCACTCGGGGGTAGGATGGTCGAGTCAGAAAGAGGGGTGCTTTGGAGGACCCGATTTCCCTAGTGGGGAGGAGGTGGGCCCGGGGTTCTGGGCGGGAGAACTGAGTGAGGCCGCGCGGGGCGACGGGTTCCAGGCATCTTCACCCTCGGGCTCGTCCCTTGGCGCACTTTCCCCTCGCCTGCTCAGCCGCAGCCCCCAACACGCAGTCCTTTCCTCTTTCCGCTTCCTCCCCCAAGTTCCTCCCCTTGCCGACGGGAGCCACCTTCCTGCGGTTCCCATGGCAACCCCGCCGGTCCTCCGCATCCTCTCCCGCCCCGCCTCCCCTCGCCGGATAGACTCCTTCCCGGGGACCAAGGCTGGGGGAGGGCAGCCGGAGCGGGAGGCGCCGTCAAGGTCACCTTGCTCCTCCACACCCGCGGGATTGAGCGATTTCAGAAGGGGGCGGAAGCAGCGGTGAATTAAAGGGGAGCGGCTGACCCGAGTCCCCCTCCCCGCACCCTCACTGGGGCTCTAAGGAATGGTCTTTGCCCGGAGGCTCCGACAGCTACCTCCACCCTTGCTGATCCCCCCGCCTCTCCCCGGCCGGCAGGGGGCTAGCCACGCCTCCGCCCCGCAGGCTCCGCCTCTGCACACCTCCGGCCTCTCGGGCCTCTTCACTCTGGCGCTTTTGGCCTCTGCCATTTCCCGTTCTGTCACTTTATTTTCGTTTTTTTCTCTTTTTTCCTCTGAATTGTAAATGAGAATAGACAGCTGCGACCTGTGGTCAGGCCCATTGACAACGACCCTGTGCGCTGTGTGGCTCTGTGGGGGTCTCCCAAGAAATAGCCCCAGCTCTGTGTGTGTGTGTGTGTGTGTGTGTGTGTGTGTGTGTGTGCGTGCGCTTCCGCGCGCGCGCGCGCGCTTCCGCGCTTGTACACATTTGAAGTTCGCACCAGTTTGGAAGTGAGGGGGCCAGAGAGCTTCAGAACAAGCATTATTTAATTTTGTTTGAGACTGCTGGAAGGGCCTGAGGGCCATTTGGGGGAGGGAAGGACAGACGCCCAGTTTCCCTGAGCACCCTGCACACTGGTTTTAGCCCTCCTAGTGTGTGGTCATTCAGGTATCTTCCATTCTCATGGCCTCAGTGTCCCCTTGGTGAAAAGAGGGTTTGTTGTTTGTTCTTTTGGGGGAAGGGGGGTCTTCTTTTGCTACTAGGGATTAAAGCCAAGGTCTTCACACTGAGCTACATCCTCAGCCCTTTTTATTATTTTTAAATTTGAGACGGGGTCTCACTAAGTCACTAATTTGCCCAGGGTGGGTTTGAACTTGCCATCCTCCTGCCTCATACACTGAGAGCACTGAAAGTACTGGCATACATCGCTATGCCCAGCTAACAGGGTTCTAAAATAGATTTCTCTGGGCAACAGCTCTGTTCTCCAATAGCCCTTGAACCTGAGCTAATCCTGAGCTTCACCTCCTGCGGAGTCCAAATTCCATGGAGCCCAGTGGGTGTGGGGTGCAGCCCTGTGGAGGAACCTTCCAGGGCTTTGCAGCTTTCGTCAACCTGGTGCCAGCTAGGAGAGTTACCCTCAGGTGGGGGCTGCAGGGGAGTGAGGCTTTGAGGGACAGGGACCCTCTCAGGTTAGGGATGGACCCCCACAAGTTCAGGATGGAAATAACGAAGAAGTTACAGTCATAATCATTACCAGCTGCCATTTCTCGGCACCAAATATGGTAGCTGAACGAAACAGACATCCTTAATAACCCTATTTTACAGGCAAGGAACCTGAGGCTTAGAGAAGTGAAAGTATGTGTTTGAGGTCACACAGCAAGGAAGTGGTGGCCTGGGGGTTAAACCATGAAGTCAGGCTGCAGAGCCCACAGTCACAGCTGCTGGCAGCCCCCAGTGTGAACCTGCAGACTGACACTGCGGTGGCAGGCACCAAGCTAAGCAGCCAGACCAGGGGCTCCTAGGGGAAGAGGCTGGGCTGTGTTGTGAGGGTGGAAGACAGAGGGGAGAGCGGGATGTGGGGCTGCTCTGAGGTCCCCTCCCCCTGTCAGCTGCACCTTGGCTGCCCACAGGGACCCACCATGCTAGGCTGCAGCCCCTGCAGCTGTGGCACCCCCGCGGAGGAAAGCAAGTGGTATGGAGTCCACTCCTACCTGCACCTCTTCTACGAAGACTGCACTGGCTCGGCTCTCAGTGACGACCCTGAAGGACCCCCAATCCTGTGTCCCCACCAACCCTGGCCCTCACTGTGCTGGAAGGTAAGGTCACCGGAGCAATTCCTGGGATTCCTGTGACTGCAGGGAGGAGATGGGACTGAAACGGATGTTCAGAGGCTTGTAAGTAATCGAATGGGCCAGGGATGCCGCTCACTGGCTCTGTGCCTGCCTGGCAAGCACCAGGTCCTGAGTTTGATTCCTAATTTAAAAAAAAGAAAGAAAGTAAAGGGATGAACTCAAATAGGTTTAAACAATAAAGGGAAAACGCTGCTCATCTTCTATAAGAGACCAGAGGTTCAGTACCTTCAGAAAAATTATCCCAGCAGTGCAAGTTTTCTCTTAGTCTTCAGGCTTTATATGGTGCCCTATTCTTACAGCACAACAGCTTCAAGCTCTCTCCAAATGGCTGCTACTGTGCCAACCCTCAGACCTTTAAGGGAAGTTTGTTTCCTCCATTACTTCCTTCAGAAAAGATACAGAATAGCCAGAAATCAAAAACATGGTCACTGTTTACATCTGCACGCCCCCCCCGCCAAGGTAGAAATAGGTATAAATTTCACAAAATATGGACAGACAGGAAGTCTCAATATTGTCAAGACATCATTCTTTCCAAATTGACCTACAGATTCAACACAATCCTCATAAAAATTCCAGCAAGTTATTTTATGGATGTCAACAAACTGACTCTACAGTTTATAAGGAGAGGTAAAAGATCCAGGAGGGCTAGAGGTTAAAAACAGGTTGCCATTTACAAGCAACAGTGTGCTTAACTCCCAGCAGTGCTGGCTCAACTAATCACACAGGAGGGAGGAACACACTAGGCAGTGATCTCTTAAATCTTGCTATGGTTTCCCAGTGATATAGTCCAGGTGCCACTGCAGTGAGCAGAAAGACCTGAGAGAAACAAACAATTCTTGTCCATAACAGCCAGGGGGAATTGTCAGCCCACAGTTCCTATTTTGGGCAGTTTTTTTTCTGAATATTGTAGAGAACCTGAGGCAGGGGGTGCCGCCTGCTGCTTTCAAAGAGCTTTGTCCTAGTGGGGAGGCTGGGTGCAGAGGTGCCAGCCTGCATGACCTCAGTCCAAGCGTGCAGAAGATGCTGGGAAAGGAAGTGGACTAAGGCCCTGGGGTGGTGGGGGAAGACCTCCAGGACAAGGTAGGCGTTTAAACTTTTAAGCATCTTTTTATTGTCAGGCACTGTGCTAGACTCTTGGTGACAAAAACTTTAAGAAGACATGGTCCTTGCTCTAGAAGAACTCCTAGGTATGCTCATTTAGCCATCAATATTCTGCCTCTGCACTGTGCCATTACTGTGTCAGCCACAGAGACACTGAGTGAACCCCAGCAGGCACAGTCTTAGCTCTCATGGGCTCTCTGTCCGGTGAACAGGCCAGCATCACTTAGGCAGCAACCCGAACCCAGGTCTGAGTGTGCACCAAGGTGAATGCTGCAGAGCAAAGGGGGCAGAGTTTGTGCAGAGTCCCCAGCAGGGTGCCTGCTCCAGGCTCAGGTATCCTGCTAGGTTTCTAAGGAGAGGGGAGTTTTGAGATCAGACTAAGGATGTGTTAATATTGACCTGGCAGAGAGACAGAGGGTAGAAAGGACAAAGGGCTAAGACGGGAGCCAAGTAATGATGGAGGAGACCTCAAGCTTGTCCAGGTGGGAGACAGGAAGGAAATCCATCCGGAGACCTCAGGATTCCAAACAGAACAGGATGAGCGGTGCTGTCAGATCCCACTGGTGCATCCTGGGGTCCCATCTCTCAAGGTTGGGATCCAGCTGGGATCCCAGGTGATCGGGACTGCCTCTCCCCAGATCACCCTGTCCTCAGGGACCCTGCTTCTGCTGCTGGGGATAGCAGCTCTGACCACGGGCTACGCGGTGCCCCCCAAGCTGGAGACCGTCAACAATATTGACTTGCCACTGCTAGATGAGAAGGCAGCCGACTACAACAAGGCGCTGAGCACCTGCCGCCTGGCAGGCACCGCACTGTGTGGGGCAGCCGGGATCCTGCTGACCATCTGCCTCCTGTGGGCCGTGTCAGGCTGGCTGAACCCAGATGTCAAGGCGGAGCCCTTGGACGCAGAAGTGGAGAGCCGTGTGGAGGTCTTCAGGGACGAGCCAGAGCAGCAGCTGTGCCCCATCTTCCAGGATGCCAGTGGCCAGTCATGGTTCTCCACCCCCTTTGGGCACTCTTCCGTGCAGACCATCCAGCCCAAGAGTGACTCTTGAGTGCTGAGTGGCAGCTCAAGGAGAACGGGACCCCTTTTGCTCCCCAGCTTATCTCCCTCCCATTGTCTCCCAACTTTTCTCTCTTAGCAGGGTCCCTTCGCCCAAGCCCCCAGAAGGCCCAGCTCCAGGTCGAGTCTGGAGCTCAGGTTCCCACACCCTTCCCCAGGGACAGGGCCCCAACTCCCCCTCCATGTCAGCCTAGCTCAAGGGCTCCTGCCGCTGTAGGGCCAGGAGACGTTCCCCAGCCTCTCGCCACTCTCCTCCCTCTGACCTTGGGTGAGCCCCTTGCCCTTCAGACAGGCAGATCCTGCCTCTCTTCCTGCACTTTGTGGAATATGAGTTGCCCTCCACAAAAGGAAGCCTTCATTCCCCCAGATGCCCCCCGAGATGGTGTGAAAACATTTACCCCACACCCCCCTACCTACCTGCATTTTGGCACCAGAGCCCCTCCAGCCTACCCGTCCCGGGCAAGGATCACCCATCTGCAGAGCAGGAGGCTGAGGTGAGCTGAGAGGGGTGTGTTCAGGGCCGGTCACAGAGCAGAGCCGTGTGCGGAAACCGGAACCCTCCCGGGCCAGCTCTGGTTCTGCAGCTGGAGTAGAGCCCCACTCCTTCGTGGTTCGAAGCAGTAGGGTCTCAGGGATGAGGACAGGTTTGGCCCAGGAGATACGAGCCGGAGGCCTGCTGGTCCCAGATGGCTACTTTGGACACAGATTTAAATGGTCAGGGAACAGGAGAAGTGGGAAGTCTTTGTCCTCGCAAAGTCCGCCCCCTAGGCACCAGTGACCGACCGACCCTGATGAGAAAGGTGCCTTCCTCGAAGCACAGCCGCTCCCTCCGCCAGGCTCCGGGTCAGAACCGTCATCTCCTCTCCTGCCACCAGGGGGCGCCCCAGCCTGCTGGACAGACGCACTCCGGGACGGTGCCCTTCCCTACCCACTTCGGTCCCGCCAGCCTGGGGGCCAGGGGAGCCTCAGCCCGCCCGGCCACACCCTACCTTCCCTGTGCCCCCTGCCCGACCCCGCCTCATCCTTCCCAAGATCCTTTTCAATAAACCGCTGGGATGACGCCGCCTTGACTTCCTTTCTTAGGGATCACTGGGGCCTGGGGAAGGAGGGGAGAGACTGTTCGGAGCGTCTGCTGCGTGCCCGACCCTTAAATTCTTTATTCTCTTTTGTTCCCGAGGATAACTGTTTGAGAAAGGAGTTGTTTGCTTCATTTCACAGGTTCTAATGATCAGAGAGGTGAAGAAGTTACTTGCCCAAAGTCGCCCCGGAATGGATTTAAATGCTGGCCTCCGGCCTGGGCACGAGTGTAGACCTTGACTTGAGAGGCAGAGAAACACCCCATCCCCGGGAATGTGGAGTGGAGAGCCTGGGGCCAGAGGTGCGATCCTTTCCTGGACCCTCAGAACTGCTGCCCCCCACCCCGCGGGCCCTGTGCTGGGAGCTTTCCAGACCTTAATTCACCTCACCCTGACGCCAACCGGTCCTAGAAGGGACATTTTCCCGATCTGGCACCCGAGCGCCACGCGTGTATTTCCAACTGCTTTTCTGGAGGCTGAATTTCCACTCAGCCATCCCAAACTATCCTCCCACCCCGCCCCGTCTTGGGGAGAGCCCCGTCCATCCTTCCGGTTGCGCCTCCAAATCCTGGGAGTGACCTGTTGTTTCTCCTTGACTCCTTTTTCCTCCACCCTGAATCAGTGCACCACTGAGAACCAGCGACTCAATCTTGGATACTCATCCTGTCCCCAGCCACCCGCTGGACCAGGCCAGCTCCTGAGCTGAGCCACCGTCACCTCTGGAGTCTCCACCTTCCACACCACACACACCTTCTCCCCAGGTCTCATCTCGCGCGGCAACCAGACCCAGCAAGGACACAAGACAGGTCAAGTTCCTCCTCTGAGTTAGAAGCAGGGCGCAGCAATGAATGCCTGTATTCCCAGCACTCAGGAGGCTGAGACAGGTGGGAGACCATGAGTTCCAGGCCAGCATGGGCTACGTGTTGAGATTCTGTGTCGAAAAAACAAGCCACAGTAATAATCGTCATAGGAAAAAATCCACCAATGAATGGCAAAATGAGTAAAATTCAGGTGAAACGGGATTCTTGTGTATCATCGAGGCATCTCCCACAGACACGCAGTTGTCTCCGTGGTGGTTTTAATGTCTGAGCATCAGTTCTTTGAAGCTCTGCCCTCCGGGAGGGGGCGTCATTCTCCCCTCCTGGAATGGGGCGGGCTTGACTTGGCCACTTGCTTCTGACATGCAGAGCTCTGAAAGCAAAAAGAATGACTTCGTGGTGGAAAAGTCTGGCAGACAGCACCTTAACCGAGTGATCAGGGTTAACATGAGCAGGGAAGGTGTTCTCGAGCCCTCCAGAATGTCACCTGGCCAGTCTCGGTGCCCTGTCCGTAACTTCAGCCTAGGCAGGAAATCTGTCCCGCGGATATCTGCCTCGCGCTCTTCAAAACCATCCCAGTCAGGGGCTGGGCTGTGGCTCGGAGGCAGAGTGTGTGCTCAGCATGTGTCAGGCGTGGGGTTCAACCCCAGCACCAAAGTCCAGGTCACAAAAATCAAGGGGAGAACAAGCGACCCCTGGGGTTGGAGGAGGCTAAGCAGACATGGCTACAGGTTGTACAGCAGCTCTTCTCTCAGCCTAACATTATTTCAAACTAAACAGTTTTAAGCCAGTGTCATGGTACAAACCTGTAATCCCTGCCCACTGGAAGGTTGAAGCAGGAGGATTGCAAATTAAAACACAGCCAGGGTAATTTAGCAACTTGGTGAGATTTTGACTGAAAACAAAAAATAAAAAGGGTCTGTAGCTCAGTATGAAGACCTGGGTTCAATCCCCAGTACCTGCCCCCGCCACACCCAATGAGGAGTGGAGGATTCCAACACTACCAACTGCTCCAACCTAGGTGACATGGACAGAGCACTGCAGACAATGGCAGGGTACGCAGGACCTCAGGCCCTGGTGGCTCCGGGAGACCAGAGGTCTCAGGGTGCCCTCTGGTGGTGGCAGCTTAGCCTTTGACAGTGTCCCTGACTTAGAGGGGAGCTGTTTCCATGCCCACCACTCTTTGACAGTGTCCCTGACTTAGAGGGGAGCTGTTTCCATGCCCACCACTCTCAGTGTCCCTGACTTAGAGGGGAGCTGTTTCCATGCCCACCACTCTTTGACAGTGTCCCTGACTTAGAGGGGAGCTGTTTCCATGCCCACCACTCTCTGAGGGTCAGATGGGGAGCAGCAGGAGGAAGGCTGACCAGAGGGGTGCACCTTCTTCTCCCCCTCTTTCATGCAAGAGCCCAAGCTCCCTGGCCTCACCACCCAGGAGGCTGTCCCAGCCCTGCTGGGTCTTGCATACTCTGACCCCCTTCCCAAGGGGATGAGGCTCTTCCTACCAAAGAAAGGGTAATGTGGGGCCACTGCCTGGTCTCTTGTGGGGCAGGGAGTTGTGACCCCCAGGTGAGGAGGAGAAACCAAGTAACAATCATAGACTCCAGGAGGTATCGATGGGAGGCAGGGTGAGAGCAAGCTGGCTGAGAGATCAGAGGTGGTTAGCAACACTCCTGCCCCAGGGTCTCCATCCCCAATCTACTTCATCCCTGCTGAGAGGGAGTCAGTCTGCCAGGGTTCAAGGCACTGTGTGAGCCTCAGAAATCTCTTAACCTCTCTGAGTCTTAGGGGATTCCTTTTTATTTTTTATTTAGAGACAGGAGGAGGCTCACTAAGTTGCTGAGTTACTCAGGTGGGGCTGAAAGTTGCTATACTCCTGCCTCAGCCTCCCAGAGAGCTTTTGTTTTGTTATCTGGTTTCTACAGTAGACAAGGATGACAGTCTCTCGAGGCTGTTTGAAGAACAAATGAACATTAGCACCTGGCACACAGACACCCACATAACCTCTAGCTAACAGGGAAAAGCATGGAGGTTATACACTGGCAACATCCAGGTTAGAACTAAAGGTGAATCAGGAGATCCTGCCCTCCAGGAACTTGCAGCCCAGTGGAAGGGCCGTCCTGCTGAGAGACAGTGGCCCTGCTCCGGGTAAGTGCTATAATGAAAGAGCAACGTAATGTCACTCCACGGGGGACAGACTCGGAGGGGCAGAGGACGGCACACAGCAACGGTTCTCTCTGGGTTTCTGGACTGGGTTGTGGACTTCAGTCCTTACACGATCCTAAGGTGTGTGGTCTCTACTTCTCCGATTCACAGACAAGGGAACAGAGTTCAGGGTGTTCGAGCCTCCTGTCTGAGCTGGCACAGCTAGCAGAGTTGAAATCTAAACCGAAGCTGTGCAGGTCCAGAATGCCCAGATTTTCTCACATGCACAGCTGCAGGAACAACCCAGAGTCCGTGACTAACCAACCTGATACGGAAGGGGGCTTAGGCCCCACTTCTCACACGGCCCTGGCAAACACAGGCAGCAAGTGAACACAGCTCCTGCTGTGACTGGTGCTGGGGAGAAGGCCCTGGCACAGCCCCTCGGGAATGTGTCCTGGCCTGGACACACATCAACATGCACTCACTCCCTTGTGCTCCATCAGGTTCCAAAGTAGTTATGCTGAGGTCTGTAGACACAGTCACTGTGGATTTGTATTGCTTTCCCATTGTTTTTTTTTTCTTTTAAGCAGCTACGTTTATTGAGCACTTACTATATGCAAATAAAGCTAAGCTCAGAGGAGTTGACGTGTTTGTCCAGGGTCATACAACTAGGAGATGGCAGTGGTGTCTGCTGCCACCTGCGGAGTAGACAGATCTGTGAATGAACAGATGTGCCACAGCTGGGTTCCCTTGTTGACTTGCCCTATGGCCTTGGACTTGTCCTGTCTCTGTCCAGGCCACATTTTCACCTGAGCCTGTCACAGGTGTACTCTGCATGTGTATAGTGATGTAACCAGTGACCTTGGCCACCTCCCAACTCAGCCTGGATTGCTGAATTTCCTGTCCCAACCTCACCAAAGCCAAGCTCTGTGCACCAGGTCATCAGGGACCTGAGCAGGGAAGAACTCACAGGCTCTCATAGGCATCTGGCCCAGGACCCATGGTCAGGGCAGGCAGAAGGAGGGAGATGTCCCAGGATGTCCTCAGGGCTGCACACCCAGGCAGGGTCCAAGGCCTGGTCGGCAGGCGAAGAGCTGTCACTGCTAGAACTTGGATCCAACACAGCAGATGTGTGATGGGGTGAGTGGGGCACCAGGAGCAAAGCCAGCTCCGGGAGGCCCTGAATGAGCAAGCAAGGGACTGAAGTGATTGAGAAAGGGGAGGAGAGGGGAGGAAGGAGGAAGGAAGGAAGGATAAATGAACGGTGAAACTGATATAGAGGTAACAGAGATAGCTCCCAAATCTGTTAGACATCCACAACACAAGTTCGTGTTCTCTAAAATCAAAGAATGAATTCTAGGAACAACAGAGGTTGACAGTAGGGAAAATGTATTGAGAGGAAGATGGCTTCTGTCTAAGAGACAGACAGAAGCGGCACCGGAAAATGGGTTTCTTGCCCACCCTGCTTCTCAACGATGTTTTATGGGACAAAGCCACAAGGAGAGGCAGGTACAAGGTGGGACAAAACTAGTCAACTAGTAGAGGCCGGGGATTTCGCTCAGTGGTGCCACACCTGCCTTGCAAGTGTAAGGTCCTGAGTTCGATCCCTGGTACCAAAAACAAAGCAACAACCACAAAATAGTCAACTAGTAAGAATACATAGAGAGTTGCTTAGGTAATTTTGGTCCAGTGGGAAGGCAAGGTGGACATGAGGTAGACATGAGGTAGAACAAAACTATGATCAACCAACAAGATTACAAGTATAGTAGCTTAAGTATATTGATTAAATGGGGGATCAAATGGGGAGGCAAGTCACACAGCAAGCATACAAGGAACAAATAAGGATTCTCAGATTTTCAGTAAGGGATGGATCAGGGACCTTCCCCACAGGGATGGGTTAAGTTCTTGATCCCCTACCCAGGCTGTTTAGAATATCAGTCATTGCTATTCTTTTCCTTTCCTCTCTTTCCTTCTTTCTTTCTTCCTTCCTTCCTCCCTTTCTTTCTTTTCCTTTTTGTTTTTTTGTACTGGGGATCCAACTCAGG